ACACACACACACACACACACACACACACACACACATTAACATGTCATGCAACAGCCATAAAACAACACACCCCTCGGATATATCACACTATCATACACATCACAAACGAAATACACACGGAGTGTCATGCAACAACAGCCAAGTGCTCACGACTCGCGGGGTCTCTACACAGGGAAAGCAGTCCATGCTCTTGCAACTTTGAGTACCGGAGAGGAAAAAACAACAACTCGTGCGTAGAGAGCCAGCACATATACCAGACAACGACAACATCTTCCGCTGAGATAAAAAATAATACTGGGTAAAAAACCCAAAAAAACAACAACCAGCATCAACAAACAAAAACAAAAACAAACAAAAAAAACACTTAAATATCAGGAGGAAAAAAAGTCAACAGAACTTAGGGAAAGGTTTTGATAGAGAGGGTAGTTAGAACAGACAGACAAATAGACAGACAACAACCAACAAATAGACAGACAGAAAGATAGACATGATCACACTCCGCTGGAGTACCAAGCTATCAAACTCAAACAAACGGGGATTCAAAAACAAACACCCACAATGCAAACCGAGAAACGTGGAAAAAGGCAGAGAAACGATGCCTTTAGAAATCATTTTGCATAAAATGTATGACGACAGCAGGTCGGGTCAAGGTCACGAGTGCCCGCCCCCACGTACAATGCACCAGACAGTTCTGAACGGACTAAAGGGGGGAATAATAACGAAAAGTTAAACCATGCAACTGAAGAAAAATGGGGAAAAAATACAAATATTTAGCCTACTAAAATTTAGACCAAAAAAAATTAACATGCAACAAAATAAAAATGGGATAAAGAATCAAAATATTTTCCAAAAACACCAAGAGGCAAAAAATAAAAATAATTTTTTAAATAAAGGAACCAAAAAAAAAAAAATGGAACAAGAAAAGCAAAAGTTAGAAAAATGACCATGTCATTACAACCAAGAGCCAACAAAGCTTAAGAGTCCCTAGACCATATAAAAAACCAAAACGACAAACAAATCGAGACAATGGGTAATCCCATCATACAGGGAGGAGTGAAAAGGGGGGG